CCTTTTTTTTTTTTTTTTTTTTTTTTTTTTTGGTAGCACTTCTGAAGACCTTGCTTTATATGTACAAGCTTTAAAAGATTGTCTACCAAGGATTCCCACAAACTCCTTTTCCAAGGTAAAAATATACAAATAGCCATTTTATTAGTACAACTTTAAGGCATGCACTGAATAAAGTAGGACTAATGCAAAACCCTATGTTTACTTGTGTGTAGACACATGGAATGATTGAGATGCCAAATCCTACACCAAAGCTCTTGATTTTTGAACCATTTATTGAGACTGATGAAGTCATAGTTTCATCTAAATCAAATGAGAAGCTCTCTTGGAAAGGTAGTAAGCCGTGGGTAGAGGTAACCGTGGGTGTCATCGGGAAGTATGGGTCGATGCATTCGCTAAGCCCCAGTCTTACTGTCAAGGAAAGTGGCGATATATTGTCACTCGAAGAGAAGTTCCAAGGTACGTACTCCCACCTTTTTTCTTTATAAAAGGTAGGAGAGAATAACTACTCTTTATAATTGCATCTACTTTAATAGGAGGCACTGGCATAAATCTTACTCCACCGCCACCATCAATCGTGAGGTTTGTTAACACACTTTGCTTTTGTTTAGAACTTGTTTTGTGGTCTTGTTAAGACATGGAGTAGATTGAGAAAACAGATGAACACTGAAGATAACGTATAATCATGTTGAAACAATTTATGTGGCATGGTTTTACTTTTATATATGTGATTTCAGTAAGGAAGCATTAGAGAGATGCAAACAAGGAATTGAGCTGATTGCAAAAACTCTCGGGTTAGAAGGGTTTTCCCGTATCGATGCCTTCGTGCATGTTGAAACGGGAGAGGTATGATCCGACCCGGAGAATTGCATTGCATTCTGCATAATTTTTATTCTCTATCTTTCAACTGGATACTAACAAGGACGATCTGTAGGTAATGGTAATAGAGGTGAATACAGTTCCCGGGATGACTCCTTCCACTGTTTTAATCCAACAGGTGACACTTTTGTATTCATACATGTTCTATCCTACAATCAGTTAGGTTTCCGTTTGGTCTTTGGATCATGTTTGTAGGTTTATAGATATGATACGTGTGAAACTCTCACGATACATTGAGCTGATAAACACCATTCTTTTTTCTTGGGGATGGGAAACAATTCCATAGGCATTAGCAGAGCAGCCGCCAATATACCCTCCTCAATTCTTTCGCTCAGTGCTCAATCTTGCTGCTCAAAGAGTCAAGTAAGGCTTTTTTTTCTGTTTCTATCATTCCCAAGTGTAATAAATAAGTGTTGTAAATTTCATTTCGTTGTGGTACAATCAAAACAAATGTTTGAATTATGTGACGAAAAATTTGTACTTCTGTTAACCTGGAATGTCTGAACTATTTGTTGGAATAAGCTCTAAGTTAGCTTGAGAGTCAAGCTACCTAATTCTATAAAGTTATATATTAGAAAATATACTAATATATTAAATCTAATGAGGTTTGAAAATGTTGAATTAGATATAAGGATATGCAAAATGTTGAACAACTTATGAGTTTTATGAGTTTGAGAGTTCAAGGTTTTTGAGATAATTTTCCTTAAAGAGAGATTAATAATAAGAAGAGTTTCTTATAGAGCATTTATAGTTTGTTTCTGGAGACTTACATATCGGATTTCTATATTCGGTATCAGAGCCACAAATCGAAATCATGGGGTATATCGTGCCTGCGACTGGAAGAGTAAGAGAAGGAGGAGGAACTTCTTCAATACAATGTCCCATGCTTAGTTCAACTAATTACACCATCTGGGCCATGAGGATGAAGATCACCCTTAAAGAACATGAAGTTTGGGAAGCCTTTGAAACCGAAACAACAAACACGAAGAAGAACGATATGGCATTGTCTTTGTTTTCTCAATCAATACCCGAGAGTCTCATATTGCAGGTTGGAGAGTTAAACAAAAGCTAGTATGGGAGGCCATAAAACAAGAAATGTAGGGGCTGAGCGTGTGAAAGAAGCCAGACTTCGAACTTTTATGATTGAGTTTGATCGTCTTAAGATGAAGATGCGAGTACCGATTTGGTGAAAAATTGTCCGAACTAGCTTCATGGTCAGCCGCTCTGGGAGCCACCATTGAAGAAGCAAAGATTGTTAAGAAGTTTCTCAAGAGCTTACCAAGAAAGAAGTACATATATATCGTTGCATCCCTCGAGCAAGTACTTGATCTTAATACCACAAGTTTCGAAGATATTCTAGGGCGACTGAAGGCGTTTGAAGAACGGGTTTGTGAGGACGATGATACTGATGAAGGTCGAGGAAAGCTCATGCACACAGAGGGACAAGTAAGTCAACCAACAAACAATCAACAAAATCTCAGAACCCACCTCTTCTCCAAACAAAGCAATCGAGATTACAGCCCAGGGTACAACCGTGACTACAACTCCAATTCATATAGAGGCAGGGGACATGGAGGTCGATCTTATAAAAGAGGAAGAGGTCGTGGATGCTTTAGTGAGAGAGATGCATCGTGGATTACATGTTTTCGATGTGATAAAATAGGCCACTTTGCAGCGACTTGTCCTGATAGAAAGTTGAAGTTGCAAGATACTCACGAAGGAGACAACTCTGAGACACAAAATCCAGATGAGCTCATGATGCATGAAGTGGTTTACTTGAATGAGAAGAATGTATTACCTGAGAAATACGAGAACAATAGTGGAGGAGGTGATATTTGGTATCTTGACAATGGTGCCAGCAATCACATGAGGGAGATCAAAATTATTTTTCTCAACTTGATAATATGATTACGGAAAAAGTACGTTTTGGTGACGATTTTTGTATAGACATCAAAGGCAAAGGAACAATTTCTTTTACCGACATGAAAGGCGACTCAAGAAGAATGACGGACGTCCATTTCATACTAGGACTTAAAAGCACCATTGTTAGTTTGGGACAAGCTATAGAAGCTGACTGTAAGATAAGACTGAGAGGGGAACAACTTATAATGCACGACCAACACCAGAAACTACTAGTCACTGCCAAAAGGTCGAAAGTCGGCTGTATAAGGTACATATGGGAATTAAGATCATGCCATGTTTACTCCTAACATACGAGACGAGTCAAATAAGTGGTATGCACACTTAGGTCATGTAAACTTTGAGACAATACGATCTATGATGCAAAAGAAGGTCGTCCTTGGAATTCCACGAGTGAGCATCGAGAGAGGAGTATGTTGATCGTGTCAACTCGGAAAGCAAGCACGACAAGATTTCCCTAAAGCTACAACATATTGAGCTACAAAGTTGTTGGAGTTTCTACACGGGGACCTCTATGGACCCATAACACGAAGTACACAGAGGGGAAATAAGTATATTCTTGTGATTATTGATGATCACACAAGGTACATTTGGACTGTGTTATTAAAAGAGAAAAGTGAGTCGTTTAGCAAGTTCAAGAATCTAAGAGTTTTAGTGGAGCAAGAAACATGGGAGAAGGTTCAAACGTTTAGAACCGATAGAGGAGGCGAGTTCGTATCAACAGAGTTCAATGAATATTGAAAGATAACGAGTATAATAAGGCATCTCATTGCACCATACACGGCTCAACAAAATGGTGTGGTCGAGCGAAGGAATAGAACTATGATGGAGACGGCGATAAGCATTCTTAAGCATATGAGTATGCCTAATTATTTTTGGTGAGATGCTATACGGCACTCAACGTATCTTATAAAAAAATGGCTACTTGAGCGTTGAAAGAGATGACTCCATACGAGCTCTATCGAAGCAAAAGACTGAATGTAGCTCACCTTTGAGTTTTTGGATGTGTCGGATACGCAAAAATGGAGTACAAAGTTGAAGAAGCTCGATGATAGATCACTTATATTAGTGCATCTATGAACAAAGCCTGGGTCAACAGCGTATAGGTTGTATGATCCGAGAATGAGGAAGATAAAGGTGAGTCGTGACATTGTCTTTAACAAATCAAAGGGATGGGATTGGAACAAAGAGCGTTTCGAACATAATAACGATGGAAGTTTTGTTGTCATGATTGGTAATTCTGAAAACCATGGCGCGACTGAGCACGCGAACACAACAAACCAAGACGACGACAACAACAATACAGAAGCAATATGCCATAATGACTCTACAACAGAACAAGAAATCGAAGAAGAAACAGAGTCGCAGCCTCTACGAAGATCAGAGCGACAAACAACGAGACCAAAATACCTTGAAGACTATATTTTTTTTCCGTGGAACTAGGAGAAGATATCTTGCTGTATTAAAATGGGGAGCCAAAGAACTTTGGTTATGCAAAAAGGTCTAAAGAATGGACAAGAGCATGTGAATATGAGATTGAGTCCATTGACAAAAATAAAACTTGGACTCTAGTCGACCTTCCATACATAGCTAAATAAATCAGGCTAAGTGGGTGTATAAGATCAAGCGCAACTCTGATGGAAGTATTAACAAGTTCAAATCTTGGCTCTTTCCAAAGGGATATGTGCAACGGCATGGAATTGATTTTGATGAAGTGCTCGCTCCAGTAGCTCGAATCAAAACAATAAAGCTCCTTATCAACTTAGCTGCAACACATGGGTAGGAAGTTCACCATGTAGACGTTAAGAATGCATTCCTCCATGGAGAACTCAAGGAAACCGTCTATGTCACACAGCCTGAATGATTTGAGGTAAAGGGATGTGAAAATAAGGTTTATAAGTTGAACAAGGCATTGCATGGGTTGCGGAAAGAGCCTAGGGCGTGGAACAATAAATTGAATCAAATACTTTGTGAGCTTGGATTCAGAAAATGTACTAAAGAGCTTTCAGTTTACTGCAAAACAACAAACAAAGAGCTTCTTATAGTCACAGTGTATGTAGACAATCTGTTTGTCATCGGAACCAATAAGAAGATGATTGATGAGTTTAAGAAGAATATGTCAAGTAAATTTGACATGCATGACTTTGGGAAGCTTACATATTATCTAGGTATAGAGTATGTCAGTACGAGAGTGAAATTCACTTGATTCAAAGATGTTATGCGTCTAAGATATTGGAAGATGCCAAGATGATCAAATGCAATCCCGTTCATATGCCAATGGAAATAGGATTAAAGATGTCAAAATCAGAGTATGAAGGAGAGATTGATGCAACAACGTACAGAAAGAACATTCGGTGTTTGTGTTATTTGTTGCACACGAGACCTGATCTATCATTCAGTGTTGGTGTTTTAAGTCGTTATACGCAGAGTCCGAGGGAATCACATGGAATAGCGATGAAGAAAGTCTTACGCTATCTCTAAGGAAGCATCACGTACAGGTTAGTGTTGAGAGATCAAAGACGAAGACACCCAAGCTTGTGGGCTATAGCGATCGCATGTTACAACATCGATCCAGAGAATGGCAAGAGCACACCCTGTCAGATATTTTACCTAGGAGAAAGTCTCATTACGTGGTGTTCTCAGAAACAAGAGACAATTGCCTTGTCATCATGTGAAGCTGAATTAATGGTGGGCACGGAAGCGGCAAAACAAGCAATATGGTTTCAAGGCCAGCTGAGTGAAGTAACCAGCCAGCAAAGTGAGAAGGTGGTTATTCATATTAATAACCAATCTGCAATTACTTTGACAAGTAATCCAGTGTTTCATGGGAGAAGTAAGCACATATATAGAAGATAACATTTATTAGAGAATGCATGGGGAACGAAGAAGTGGAAGTTGAGTATGTACAAGGAGATAAGTAGAAGGCAGACATACTAACTAAAGTTGTAGGTCAAATTCAGTTCAAAGAGATGAGAGATTACATTGACATGAAAAATATGGAGACAAGAATTTTGAATTAAAGAGCAGAATGTTGGATTAAGCTTAAAGTTAGCTTGAGAGTCAAGCTACCTAATCCTATAGAGTTATAGATTAGGAAATATACTAATATGTTATTACTAACGAGTTTAGGAAAGTGTGTTGTATAAATTATGAGCTTTATGCGTTTGAGTGTTTTAGTTTTCTTTGAGAGAGATTGATAATAAGAAGATTTTCTTATCGAGAGTTTATAGTTTGTGTTCTTGAGACTTTAATATCTGATTTCTGTATTATTGTATTATGTAAGGTCTCACATCGGAAATATGATGGGAACTTTAGTAATATATAAGGGATTTGGGCAAATCCACTAATTGCCAATTGGTTTTGAGTAGGAAGCCAAAGAAACTTAACATGGTATCAGAGCAGGTCCACACCCTGACCCATTAATCTGGCCCGGAAAGTGGTCTGAACAACCCATTAGCTGATGACCCAGAGAAGGCTCAGTTCTATTGAGATTGCTAGAAGAAAAAGCATTGTCTCGGTAGGAGTATGATGGATTCCACGAAATTAATGGCTATATGTACCATTATCTCAAG